TTCCCTAAACTAATGCTCCAGTAATTAGTTTAATAACAAACAACTCAAGAATGAAAAATACAAACTCCTAATATTTTTCTCAATTTTTGAAACTTAAGTAACTTAAGTGACTTGGTAAATATATCTACAATATGATTCTTACTTTTAGGGATATGCATGAATTATAATTTTACAAATAAATCAAAATTCATTTTAAATTCAATTATATGAATTGTATTTTAAATTAATTTATCTTATTTTTTCTAAAATTAGTTTAAAACTAATTTTAAATTTTATTTTGGTTGAAACCAATTTTATTATTATCAAAGTACCGAATAAAATAAAAATCCTAGGTCATACAGACTATATTATCAAGCAAATATCCAAAAAATCGTCCCAAACAAATTTATTCAATAAAAAAATCATGAATACAATACTTGCTAACCATGTATGCTACCGGATAGACATGGTAGCTTTGAAGTACGGGTACTCCATTTTCGTCCAGTACCGGTACTGGATACGTACCTAGTACGGGTACGTAGAGCGTACCTCGTACATACCCAAAAAATTTATAAAAAAAAACTGGTACGTTGGTGGGTACGTGGGGTGCGTTAATGGGTATGAGAAAGGAAATTTTTTTTGAAAAAAATCACTTTAGGTTAGATTTTATTTTGGGCCCAAAATCAACCCGACTTTTTCCTAACATTTCTACAGTCCAGCGCCCAGTAGCGGCGACAACATCCAGAGTTCAATAGTGGCAGCGGCAACGGTATCCAGCGTCCAACAACTTCCAATTTACACACACCACCTTCGTTAAGCCTCCACTCCAACTTACACAAAACTCCATCCATCCTTCCAACTCCCCACAAATCACTTCTATCCTCAGTTGTGATTCATCTTTGCTCTCTATCTCTGCTCTCTGTCTTTTTTCCAAGGTAAATTTTAAATATGTGATTAATTTCATGTGCATTTAAGCAACAATAAACTTGATCTGAATTAAAATAAATTAGTGATTCAAGTTTATTAATTTATTTTGTAACAGATGCAATCACAATGTTCTAGTAGTGGTTGAGGGTGCAAATTCTCTCTAAGTTATGTAACTTTGCTACAAAGTAAAAAAGATGGTAGAGAAAATGCAAGTTGAGCCTTGTAACTTTTGTAAAGGAACCTACAAGGGTTCTTATTTAAGAGTGAAATCTCATTTATTGAAAGAAAAGAGACATGGGACAACTACTTATTTATCTATAACAAATGAATATTTGCAAGAGATGAAACAACTTGAAAGAGAGGCTAGTAAAAAATCAAAGTTTGTGGAAGTTTCTTTGCCTATTGGAACTACAAGTTTAAACCCCCCCTATAGTTAATAGGAGCAAGAGAAGAAGAAGAGCTGAAAGTCCATTAAGAAGGGCATTTAATAATGAGGTAAGAGACCATTTATCATGTGGTTTATAACATCTTAATTGAGGCAAGTGAAGCTAGCAATATATCAACAGAAGGGTAAGGAGTTGAATCAACATTCATCCTTTTATGATGTGGTTTATAACGTTTTAATTGATAGATGGACTAAAAGCTACACACCTCTTCATTGTTTGGCTCATTCACTCAATCATCGATAAAATTTAATTAATTTAGTCCTTTTATTTTATTTGTTTTTTCTTTCAAGTTTCAATTGATTTATTTATATACTTTATAATTTGCATAATAGGTATTATTGTAGACAATAGCTTGAGGAAGCTCCAAATCGAGTTCTACCACATAAGGATAATGAGGTTTGCATAGGAAGAAATAAGTACCTAAGAAGTTACTTTCTAGATTCGAAGAAAATGTTAGAGGTAACTACTGAGTTTGTTAAATTCTCAAGTGCTTCTAAAAATCTTGGCCAATTTAATTTTTTGCAAGGTAGGTGAAACTTAAAACCAAAAGAATGGGGAATTATATATGGAGCTACAATTCCCAAACTTCAGTCCATTGCCTTGAAACTTCTTTCACAACCATGATCTTCTTCTTGTTGTAAAAGAAATTACTCTTTGAAAAGAAATAAGCTTAATCCTAAAAGAGCTAAAGATTTAGTATTTGTACACACAAATCTTCGTTTAGTCTCAAGAAAAAATAAGAATTATTCCAAGAGTGAAACTAGAATGTGGGATATTGGTAGAGATGAATGGAATTCAATTGAAGGTGCTGGAATTCTTGAAGTTGCTAGTCTTTTTCTTGATGAACCAGATTTAAAGGTAGTTATTTTCACTGATGGTAAAGAAGAAAATAATAAGATTAACACTATTAGAGTTTGATTTTCTTAATTATGTTTTAGTATTGTCATATCATGTTGAACAATTTAAATATTGTAATTTGTATTGTAAGATGTTTTATTATCTTTGTGAACAAATATATGTCTCTTTTATGTTATATAATATATAATATGTTAAAATTTATATGCTTTTATTTTACATATAATTTTTTATATTTTTTAATCGACGTACCTTTAACTTAGTTTTTTATAAAATGTCGTATCCGTGCCCGCATCCGGTGTCGATACCATACATGCAACATAGCATGGCAGCAGGGAGTGAAAACAATTACTGCATATTATTGTGATAATCTGAATTGATTGCTCCTCATTTTTCTACAATTTATAAGTAAAACCCAAGACTATCAATACATATTGGAAACTTCAGTTTGATTTGTAAAGTGAAGGAAAAAAATGACTTCTACAGATAATAACAAATTATGATCTCTGTATATACATCTTTCAAATCATTGACACAATCCATTAAACAGAATATGCAGAAGCTGAGATGCCAATACATATTAAGTTTACAATATAAATATTCCTCCACGGGCTAATACATTATTATAGAAATAGCTTGCCCATAACAAAGTAAAATATTGAGATTAACAAGGAAAGACTGGTTTGAAACAAGTAAAAACTGGTTTTGGAAACTTAACAGTTTCATGTGCTCTCATTCTGATTATTATATTATTATAAAGCAATCAATATAAAGAAATTACTTTTAAATATCACCTGTACAGAGTAGAAATAGTGATCTTAATACACAAAGCAAATGGATAGAGACTCGATTCTAAGGACTATTGCATGAAAACTTCACGCAAAAGTTTATGAGATAAGAAAGCAGACAACTGTGTATTTGTTCAAGAAATCAGAAACAATCAAAAACATCTTTGGTAACACCTCATGTAGATACTGCATTGCTTTGAAATTTGTATCCCTTTCGATAAATTAATCAAACTTATATAATTAGTTCCCACATATATAATTAGTACAGTAAATTGCAGAAATTGTATTTTTCTATCAAGAACAAATTTTTCAGCAACACCTCCTCTGTCTTACATTCCTGTAATCAAATTGACACCATTGTTGAGGCATTGGAGATTTCATTTTGTAAAGAGTTTCATGCTTGCATCTTACATAAATACAATAATCACAATAAGCAAGCAACACTTACCCAATAAGATATGCAACTAACAAAAAATAATTTAAACAAGCATAAACAAGGTATTGCTCAAGATTGTTTCTCAGCAAGCATGAAAATCTATAATTTCTGTAAGCAGCACACGCATTGACACTGTCACATATCTTGTGTTCATGGCTTTTCAAACAAATGTTCTCCTTTTATCTCAACTTTATCTTCCTTTACACGAAATGAACTTTCCACTTGACATGCATAAATGAATGTTTGCAAATATGATAAGTATAACATTTATATTAAATTACAACAATGGACTATTAAAATTTAAATAAAAGTGAGTCTTGCATGGTCAATACATTATAATTATAAAATTCAACTAAAAAGACTGAAAATAAAAAATCTTTAATTATTATTAAGCGTCATAGAAGTCATAAAAACAACATTTTGTGGAGAAACTTATTAATATTTGTGTTAATAATAAAATTATTAAAAATATTTTATTAATATTTTTTATATTAGAATAGCTTATAATTTGTGATGGTTAAATAACTGTCTAATTACGTGTGGCTTTTATAAAAAAAAAATTTTATTAAATTGATAAACAAACAATTATATGTTATACATTTATATTTTATTTTAAAAATATTTATAATATTAAATAATTAAATTATTATAGCATACACTGCTTTTGATCCTTTATATAATGTATATTTAATTAAATTATAGAAATAAATACAAAAATATTAAAATTAGTTAAATTTTTTGAAAATTTAAAATTTATTATAATAACAAATTTACTCTCGTCATTGTACTTAACATTTGTATCGATATTTATTTTTTGTAAAATTTAATTTAAATTTTTATTATCTCAATTTATTAAAGACAAATGAAGAAATATAATAAATACTTCATAAAAATATAAATGTCTTATGAAAAGTGCTAAAAAGATTTTAAAAAGTTATTTATAAGAAAGACTAAAAATTATTAAATAAATGAATGTCTCTATTAACATGAATGATGGGTGAATATTTTATTAATACAAATTTTATTATAAATAAAAATATTAAAAATAATAATTAATGTATTTAAAAATAATTTAATAATTTTTATAATTTATATAAAAAATATTAATAATTATTTTTTATAAAGAAGACCAGAAGTAATAACTTTTAAGGATTAATATACGTACTATTTCATTTTAATTTAAAAAATCAACTATTTCATTTTTGTTTGATCCAATTCTATTCTCAAAATAAAAAATGGACACATCGTTGAATAATTAAGGTGACTTTAGAGTTTAGGATTTAAGAGTTTTTATTGTATTGCAAGAAATGTCAGCAATATATTTTTTAATACACTCTTTATTAATAGTTAAAATTTATTGAAAACTAAAAAAATATTAGTTTAAGAATAAAAAGAATAACACTCATATTTTTTATAATTTTTAATCAATTTTAATTAATAAAAAAGTGTATTACAAAGAATATGTTACTAGCATTGTATTGCTCACAACTTGTTCCCTTTCTCATCTGTTAATGTTTCTCCCACTTGTGCACAACTGTTTTAACAATAGCAAGCCTTGTCCCCAAAGCCTCAACAACACCTCGTCGTTGTTAAGCCAAAATTATTCTCGCAAGGATCAGTGTCAATTCTCTCTCTAAATTCAAGAACAGATTTGAGCATTCCTAAGAGCATTGAAACAAATCTTATTATGTTATTGGAAGACACATAACGAGGCAAGGACGGAACACAGTTGTAGCTGCATTCACCATATTTTGTCAATAATTTCTCAATATATCAAGACTTTTAAATTTTCCGATCCGCACATGATTTAAAACTTTATATTCATGTTCTAAAGGTTTGTATAAAGTAATATATTAATAATTAATAAAAATGAACACCATTATAGTTCGTATATAGTTTTTTTATAAAGCACAGTATCCTGTACGAATCTATAGACAAAATTAATTAACAAATGAAAAGAATGTTTTCTTCTCTATTTTTTTGTTTTTATCAGCCAACAAGAATAATAATAAACAAAAGTACAAGTCTACTCCAACCCTTAGACAAATATCTGTATAGTCCTATTAAGAGAACGCAAATAGAAAAAAAAATTTAGTACTAACAAATACAAATAAATAATGAATTATTCCATTTACACACCCGTAAGGTTCCACATCGATCATAGCTACTAATTAGTCATACAGTATTATTCCTATTACTTTTCATGCAATTTTAACACGCCCCACCACCACCACCACCACCTCCACAACCCCCACCTCCTCCACCACCACCTCCACCAATTCCACTGGCAGCAGTGCTCCCCATAATCCCACCCATCATTCCATTATGCAAATGATGGTGATTGTGGTGAGCAAAACCACCACCGCCGCCGCCACCACCGCCACTTCTAAATGCTGGACTGTATCCTGCCACACGGCACAATAAACTGAATATTACAATGAAGAAGAAAACGCACCCAACTATGATGATAAATATTACGAACGGCTCCATCTCACATATGCTTGTCAAAGTGCTTATTAAAGTCCTTATGATCTATATATAATACTGAGCGGTATATGAGGCGGATTTTGACGTTCTATACTTATGTTGACTTGTCTTTAGGAGAAGCTGCCTGGCATGATGCGTTAGTTTATTGTGCAAGGCACGTAACTCACTGCGCGCTGTTTCAAATTATGGGTTTTGATTTTTGACGAATATGATCAATATTGGTCATCACCAAGACTTGCTCTTCTTCGGACAAACATTCCATAAACCGAGTCCACGTTTATTTTATCGATATTAAAATTGGACATAACAAAATCTCACATTTAAAATTTAAAAATAAAAATATATATAAATTAAAAGTGCAACTAATTCTTTTTTTTCTTATAAATAAAAATTACGTATTTGTGTCAAACTTTTACATAGCCAGTATTTTAGTTATACTAATTTTATTTTATTTTTTTAATAATGATATCTTCACCAAGTTATAAAGTACATGAATTGTTGATTTTGATGGTTAGTATTTAATCTATAAAAATTATGAATTTAATTACAACATTAAAATGAAAAGACTAGTCAACTAATCAATACGATAAAAAGAAAACGTGTTTTTTTTATGAGCATAATTAATGTTTTATTTTAGATAAAAATTTTAATAAATATTTATAAATGTAAAAATTATAATAATTAAATTTTTATAAATTAGAATTAATTTATATTTTTTAAAATATCTTATTTAACTTTTATAAAATTTGAGATGAATAATTTTAATTTTGTTTATAAAATCTTTTTTTTAAATTTATCTAAATTAAAACAAGTCTTAAAAGGAGGTGGAAAGAATTAGAGTATGTTTGATTTCTCTTTTAAAAAGAATTTTTATTTTTTTAAATATAAACCGAGTCCACGTTTATTTTAATTAGAATATGATCAATATGATCAATATTGAGCATGAGACGAATATTTGTATTATGCATTAATTTCATAAACCTAGTCCTGATTGCTCACTCAAAATGCTTTAAAAGTCGTCCATTTAGAAACCCTCTTATTACGCATGTATTGCGAGCTATGGCGGACCTACACTTATACACACGAGGAGCCTTCTATTTCTATAATCTGAACTCATTAAATTCAAATACTATTATATTTATAGTTATTCAAATTGGGCTCTTTATTTTCTAATTTTTAAGTTATTAAAACTAAAATTATCTTAAACACACACGTTAGTTTTCTTTCTAATTTTTTATTATTTTTTAGACATGTTATTTACTTTCTTTTACATAATAATTTCAGCAGGGTCACCAAGTCTAAAGTGTCATTATAGTTGTAGGCCCTTAATCTATATTGCTTTCAAACTTTCGCTTTCGTCGTTAACGTGTGATTAAAAACAAAAACTATATATTATTTTAAAATAATAATATTTCAAATTTATAAAAATATTTCATATATATTTTTATAATAATTTAAAATATTTAATATTTCTTTACATATATTTTTAAGGGTGCTTGTTATGATGCTGATTGAAAGAGAATTGCATATATTTTTAAATTGACTGTTATGACTTTTCTAATATTTTAAAAATTAAAAAATATTTATATTTTTATAAATAAATTAATAATAAATTTTGTAGTACTTTTAAAATCTTTTAAAGTATCGTATAAATTTTTTTTTAACTAATAATGTTTAGATATATATTTAAATAATAAATTTATTTAATAATAAATTATTAATTTACATTTGAACAAACTAAAAAATAGTTAGGTCAAACAAGAACTGGAATGTAATTAAAATTAAACAAATTAAAATTTAAAAATAAAATGATAATATTATATTAATATAATTTTTATATTCTTAATTTTAATATTATTAATATTTAATTATTTAATTATTATATTAATATATTATGTTATAATTATTTTTATTTATAATAAATAAAAATTATTTAAATAGAATAAAAATTTAATAAATAATATATATATGGACATTATAAATATATAATAATAATAATAATAATAATAAAATTATATAACAAATAATATAAAGAATATAATTTTAAATAAATTATATATAATAATATTTTCTTTATAACTTACTACGCGTTTTTTTATTAATATAAATTTTTTAAATACTATATCTATAAAAAAATTTAGAATACCACGACAACTCTTTAAAATTAACAATAGCTCCATTTTAAACCACATTTTTTTTCCGTGTATAGTTATTGTTCCCATATTAACATCACTTTTTTTCCTCGGTCTCTCTGGCTAACCAGTGTTTTTAGAGTTAAAAGACTTAGAATAGAACAAAAATTATTAAAATTTATAAATAAAAAAAAAGCCTCCCCAGAGATGGAAATAGAAGAAATTCAAGTAATTGCGTTGAACTTGTTTTTACCACTTCGTCCCTATTTTCAAATAATTAAAGACTAATAAAATTTGATATCAAATCAGATCAGATATTCGTTCGCATTCGGATAAAAAATAATTTTATCGAATTAAAGTGATTAATTTCGGTATGTTACACACTATTTGATGTCAACTATATCATTTAATGCACTCTTTTTTTTAATCATACTGTCACGGGGCGCATTGTCTCTTCCTCTTTCTCGGACAGTTCATCAAGCTTTCTCATTCCCTTTTTTTTCTTCTCACTTTCTTACTTCTCTTTCATATGCATCCACCTTGCCATTATAACTCAAAATAAGTGCAAGAAACTCGTTATTATTTAGTGTTAAAATATTTTTTAATTATTTTATGGATAATAAAGTTTAAATAATACTAATATAGTAAAAAATAATATAAAATAATTATAAAAAATATTTTAACATGTATAAATAATAAATGTATGGTATAGAACTTAAAAATAAGTGTTAAAATGATTTTCTGTATTTACAATTATAAGTTCGTCTTTGTTTTCTTCTTCCATCTATAAACAGTGAATTTTTTATTTTTGGCTTTTTCTTCCATGCCTCATATAGTAAGTTTTATTGCTTTCTTAAGGTTATGTTTTATCTCCTTAACATCTTTATTTTTCATCTATTGAAGGTGTGAGTCCTTCATAATCACATGATTCTTTTTTTTTCTTCTTAGATCTTCATTTTTTATTTTTTTTATTTTTGCAGAACATCTCTTTACAAAGCACACGTTTAAAAAATCTGAAACCCCCGCACAACCCAAAACCTGCTCAACAACTCGAAGAGTCTATTTTGGGATTCTACTTTCGACTGAAACCAACTGAAGCCTACACCTACTTTTAACCTCATGAACCAATAGAAAAGAGTTAAATTCGCTTAATAGCTTACTATTTTATTTTATAAATTATTTTAGACATATATATGTATTTAAGGAGAAATTAAATTCTTAAATTGGAATTGAGTTTACACAATTAAATCAATATTTAAATAAAAAAAATTCAAAGGAGTGGTGAACGCGGGCACTGCATGATAAGAATTATCGCATTGAATTATTGACTGATTTATTTGTAAATATTTGGCATATATATATATATTAAGTCCAAAATATTTTTGGTGCTCCCAACCTCTTGCAGCTTCCGTGTCTGAAAGGAATGTTTTCCTTTCATATTAATTAAAATATTAACTATCCAGTGTGCCATTGAGAGCTTTGATCTCATATATATACTGCTCATTCTGTGTAGTTGTAGATGGTTTCTTCTGTTGTAATTGACATATGCCAAGATGGGATATATATTGTGACCAGATTTGCTTCATGATTCAATGATTTACTTACTTTTGACATAACTCTTTTGCATTATTTCTGAAACTATTAATGATAAGGAAAACAGAAAAAGAGAAGACACGATGAGATGAGGATAAAGTAAGTAGTGCTGGTAAAGTAATTGGTCTGGTTTTGTTTTCATAGTTAATTAATTTACTTTAGTTTTATTATTTTTCTAATAGAAAAATGAGTTTTACAAAGTCATTTAATCATATATTATTATATTAATAAGAATTATTAATTTTTATGATAATTTATTTAAACATCCTATTTATGATATATTTTAATCAATCTACTATAATAAGGTATCACAATTAAATTTTATTAAAATTTTGCAAAGAAATAGTGAAAACAACATTTATTATTTTTTGTTAGAAAAACAAGCAAACCAAACACTTAAAATACTTGACTAACAAAAAAACACTTACAAAAGAGAATATAAACATTGACATGGTCTACCCAAAGTATATATAACAATGTCAACGATCGAACTTAGCAACCACCTCCACCACCTCCGCATCCTCCTCCACCACCACCACCACATCCACCACCACCGCCACCACTTCCATGTCCATGGGAGTGTCCACCACCGCCACATCCATGATTTCCATCCCAAGTTGTGGTTGTTGCTGCAGTAGCAGCACCTGTCAAAATAACCATGTCACCGTCTTTGGCACCCCTTACTCTGCTGGCGATTCCTTTGGATGCATGAAGTTGTTGAACATGGCTACTCGTATGTGTACCTTGAAATCGTTCATTGCTCTTATATTTGTTAACGCCTCTTTTCTTTCTGCCTCTGTAGCAAAAACATCCCATGTCTTTAATGTTATGTTGGCTTTGAGTCTGTTTCCTATATCGTTTATATAATGCAAAGTCAACAACCATCTTTGCAAGAAAAGTAGTGCTGTAAGGTTTCTACGCAATTAATATGTGCCTCCTATGTTTATGCCGCCCAACGATATAGTATTTTCCTTGCGCATGGGGCTATCTATATACGATGAATATTCCTCGTCTAGTCAAAAAGTTAATTTAGTTCATTTATTTTAAGAAAAAAATAAATTTATGTTTAATTATTATATAAATAAGTTAAATTTAAGATTTATTGTGATATTGAAGATTATTCATGAATAATTTGCGTATATATAGAAGAATACATACAATGATAAAAACAATTATTTTTTCATGTATAAAACAAGAGATATGCTTAATAAATATTGTAATTTTTTCTTTAAAATTATATCAGTAAAATTCTTTAATGATTAAATATTTTTTTTTATTTTCTTTCTCTTCTAACTTTATTGGGGAGGCAGAGTGCACTTTCAGCGATGCACGTGCCTTCCATGGTAATAACCTTAAACTATCCACTGACAAGTACTCTTAATACAAATAAAATAAAATGTAACTGTAAATGAGACAAACAAATCAAGTTTAAGTTTCATCTTTTTTAAACAAGTAAAAATTAAGTTTTAAATTTGACTTTATTTAAATAAATAAAATAAATTTGAACTGTATAGTTTTTTTTTAGGTTTAAATATATTGTAACTCATCAAAATACATTACTTTTTAATTTTAGTATTTGTAAAATTATTATTTCTTATTTTAGTCCTTACATTTTTAACAATCGTTAGTTAGATCCATTTTGGGTTTGGAGAAGACAACTAGAGTGGTCTACATTTTGAAGGAATGCTTTCAGTAGCTCGGGGAAAAGGAAGTTTTGGATGGTATATGGCATGCAGTTGGGAACGTTTTACATCCTTTCTCAAGATGGGAATTGGGATTATGCATTCTTAGCTCAGAAATTGGGGAATTATATTTCGAATTGTGCTTAAAAATGGATACCTTGTTATTGAGTTATATATATGGTTCTGCTAGTAATCTTTCTTCGGTTTTATCAGTTTAACACATAATCAAGTAAAACTTCTGGATACTTTGTAAAAGTCAAATACTATGTTGAAAGAAAATGTTTAAAAACAAAGAGGGGACACGTTTTTTATTTTAAATTAAAATAACTACATATCATTTATAATAATAAATATATTAGTTTATTTATTTTATTTTAAAAATTTATTAATTTAAAATAATAAAAAATTGTCGCCACTTCTCTTTTCGTCCCTTGCAAAACCCTCTTTACGAAGCAAATGTAACGGGCTGCAGCAGCTTACTAATATATTGTATGACCATGCAATTGGTCATGTGGCATTGAAAAAGCCAGAAAATTGGGTACGTTATACTGATAAATTCACAAAGTTAAGGAATACTCAACTCAAATAGCTTCGTAAGATAAGAATTACTTTAATTTTTATCAGTTTTTATTTTACTATATTTATATAAGATGTGGGATTTCAACGGATATAAAGGTGTATATGAGTTTGCATCACTGGTCAGGAAAGTGACTGTGATCGGTTGAATTTTAGTTCTCGTGTTCATGGATCGGGTAAATCCGATTAGAAACTAAAATAAACGGGTAAAGTGTTTAGGTGTAGTCGGGTCTTAATGATTCAAACCTAATCATTTATGAGATGAGTATTGGGTTTGTTTTTTATTTTATTTTATTAGATGAACCTAATCCAATTTAATTACATATAAAAAATTAAAATTTTTTATAGTATTTGTATTTTAATATTTTTAAAATTTTTATAAATAATTTATTTAAACAAAAATATTTATAAGAATAACACTTTGTCCATGCTGGGTTCCATGAAACTACAGTCGTTCTAGTATGAATATTACTTACATGCGAAGATTGAAGAGAATAGGTAAATCTTATGATCGAAATCATAGTGGAAGTGGTCTTCAACTGGTTTCTTTCGGACTCTTCCAACGGTACATCATTGTATCGTGTTGAATGTTATGACTAAGAAGCCGTACACGAAGATAAGAATTACGTGTTGAACTCGTATGACATGGACTACATTAACAATAATGGACAAATTTTTATTTTTCACAATTCTAGAAAAATAGACTAGTGACCTTTTAAGTTTTATCAACTACTAAATTTCAAACAGCATATCCTATTCTTTCCATTAATATATTAAATATATAATAATTTGTAAAAATAATATAACGGAAAGAGAGAGATATAAAACAAAATAGATAATATCATGAAGTTAAAAAGTAATATATATATAGAATAGGATCTTCTTACAATGGTATAAATCTAAAAACTCTTATATTGTATATATAAATTTTTCATTTAACTTAAATTTAAGTTGTTAAATTTAAATTAAATGAAAACTTATACCAATGTAAGATGATCATATATATATATATATCGGTAGAATTTTAATATAAAAAATATTATTACTCATTTTAAAAAGATGTGTAATTTTAATTTCTTTTTTTATTTGAAAAAGTACAAACATAATAAGTATATAGAAAACTAAAACAATGATACAGTATATTCAAAAATTTGTCTGTGAGAAGTTTTACTTGTAACTAAATTTTTTAGTTTAAAAAAACATGATTGGTGATTTTATATAAATACTATAATCATGTAATTTTTCTTAAAAGACCATATCTTGATAATTTTAAATATAAAATTCAATATATAAAAAATCCCAATTTAAAAAGAGCTAACTTTTAAAAAGAAAAAAAAAAGTTGAAGGTGATTGTTTTAAAATTATTTTAAATTAAGTTGGTTGAAAAATCAATTTCTCTATAACTATTTTTTTTTTTATCTCTATTGTACTTCTATAAATAATAGACAAGGATGTTTTCACAAATAGTTTTAAAAATACATTGATTCAGTGAAAAGCTACAAGAAACATGTATTTCAAGAGGAAAAAATTAACCAGCCCCTATTATTGGGAGACACTATAACATAGAAAAATAATTTACACTTTAAAGTGAAATAACATTTCAATTTTAGATTATATTATATATATATATATATATATATATATATATATAAAAGATAAAAGCTGAAAGATAATTATATATAATATCATATATAATGCTACATTTTTATAAAATTAGTTTACATTTTTTTTTCAAACACAATAAATATTATTACAATATTAGGCAAATACACACGTCAAAATTTTATTTCAAATGAATTTTCAGATTCGAATATCCATATCTATTATATGGTCATAAATAAAATTTTTAGTTAAATATTCTATTTGTTGCATTTGATACAAAATTTGTGTAAAATGGAGGTATTTTTTTAGATTTAATTCTTTTATGTGAGCAATTCATTTTAGTGAATATTGTAAGAAATTAAAATAATTAATTAAAATTTAATAATAAATAAATAAATAGTTAGATAATTATTTATATATATATATATATGAATAAAATTATGATTTGAATGATTAGTTTTATTAAAACTATAAGTATTGATTTTGCTTTCTAAAATAATCTATTTTAAAGGAGTAATACTTTAAAAATAATTTTTGAAAGTGTATTGAAGGATCTATAAAGAAAAATTAAATTTTTATTTAAAATCATGAGACTTAAGGACATATTTTGATCAATTTTACCCAAAAAAGTATTAAAATAAATTTTAAAAGTTATATAAATATTAAATTATATTTTCTTTTAAAACACTTCCAAACGTTTTCTAAATATAATATCCGATTAAATGACAATTAATTTTTTTTTATCTCAATCTTATTACATTGTAATTAAGTTTGTAAATATTGTTTGTTATTTATTTTTTTACCTTTCTTTCTTTATTTTTATTTATCAAAATAATAAAAAATTTATATGATAATTTTTTATATTTATGATTTTTTTATCATTTTTGAATAATTTTTTATGTCTTAATTAATTTTTCTATGACAATCGAAAGAAGGTGTGACTTAGTAAGCAACACACGTTAAGATTATAAGAAAAGTTAAAGTTTAATCTTTACTAAACAAAAAGGATAAAATATCATAACCTTACTTAAGCTTTTAATTTGAAATATTCAACACTCACTCTTATTTGGAAACTTCTCGCTCAAAAGGTTCAAATATTTATGTGAAGACTCCTACTTAACAAATTGCCTACAAAATCTAATCTAAGTAGGTATAAAGTACTTTACACAAAGGACAAAACAAATTGTATTTTTTATGGTAATGTTTTTGAAGATGCTACCCATCTATTTCTCTCATATTCCTTTGTAATGCAACTATGGCATCAATGTCTACAATGAGGAAATCTATTGCTTATCTTTAATTGTCACATATTAGGTTAGCTAAATAAAATTATTAGTTTGTTAGCTGACAAATAATTGAATTTACTAACTAACCCGAACATTATCAACTTTCATCAATTTTTTTATAATATGCACCACTTTTATTTGACCTCACAACTTTACCATTCTATTTAGTTGTCTTTTCACATCATCAATGAACATTTGTAACACACTTACTAAAACTTTTTATTTAACATATACATATAGCAATATCATGAGAAGTAATTAATATAGATAATGAAATACCTTTCATTACCCCAAGACGTGATGTCAAAAAGACCATAAATATCAGTGCATATCAACTTTAGAAGTTGATTGCTTCTTATGGTTAAATTCTTTAATGTGTATTTAGTTTGTGTTCTTTTAATACAATCCATACATACATCCCAACATAACCTTGATTTCCTGTAAGTTCCATGTATTTTTAATGGTATTGTAATTCACCTAGAACTGACCAAACTTAGGAGGGAATGAGATCATAATGAACTGTACTAGAAAGACTTCTTTTACCTTCATGCCTATTGATTTCAACTTTCCCACTTGATTGATCATATCAGTCATATGGTCATGAATAGGTTGTGACTAATCAAATTTTTTAATAATTAGCTCAGTTAACAAGGTATCTAAGCTGAACTTATCAATAATGTCTAATTGTGCATACTCTTTTACCTTTGACATAAATTCTTTGGCATGCTCAGTCTTTGTC